AAAGCACACCATCACCGTTTGAGGAAACAGTGGGCTTCGAGCCTTGAGCATGCGATCATGATTAGCTCCAGAGAAGAGCTGGAGGAACGAACAGAGAGAGCCTCACTGAAGTCAAGGCCTGGTGGATCATGCGTTGGACCCGAACATAGTGACGTCTGACAGAAACAGTGAATACTGCGACGGCGCGGGATTAACGCTAGGGAAAGAAGTAGCCAAGTAGACATAGTGGGTTGGTTGCAGTGGTGAATGGAAATCGATTGTGTGGTACTCTTCAGAAAGGATGCTTATGGTCAGTTCAGGGCGTTTTATCTTTTATTCCTACAATCAGAACTAAGAACCTCCTTCGAAGTGCAAAGTTTTTGAATTCAGGAGTAATCTCACCAAAATTGTCGTGTTCCATGCCCATCAGCATGGAGCCGCTTTCACACGCCTCTATGTATATAGAAAGTTTGTGGAATTTCCCGGCACTTCGAGCATGTTGAATGTAGCTTGCCAAATCTGAGCGCATCATCTGCAAGGGAAGTGATGAAAATGTGATGGGAAAACGGAGGAGGTGCAACTAGGATACCGGAGATCCACTCGGCATTCCCAGAACATTGTACGCGCCGTGGTCTGTGTAAGAAGATGAAGACGTTGTCTTCTTTTGTGCTGGAACAATAAATCAACTGCACTTCACTACATACGGGAAAACTGCAATAAGTTATTCAATCCTCGTTGCATATTCGAAAAATGGATAAGAAATATGCGCTCACCTCTGCAAAACCCGCCCACTTCCCGGATACTTCCCCGCAACCACACTGTCACCGCTGAGAACCGCTTGAAAAACAATTTTGTTCACCGATGTGGTCCTAAAAATTTGACGGCACAATATTCCAAGCACTAGTGTTTTTTTTCAAGTAGGAACCCAAACAAATCTGACTTAAGCGAGGCACTATTTACCCTTTACTGCCCCACTCCTCAAGAACTGAGCCGGATTTTGATCGAAATTCGTCCATGACTGTGGATTTTGCTAGAAACTTGCCTTCAGGGGTAATTTGACCCGTAGATCACGAATATAATACCGGTTTAGAGCGAAAACGCTTGGCGCCCGCGCCACAGGCGCCGGCGCTATCACAACAGTTTTGCGCGGGCGCTCGTAGCGCAGGCTACAGGTTCACTCGTAACAAACTGATGTGATAATCATATTCTACGGGTCAAAATACCTCTGAGGACAACTTTCCAGCGAATTTGGGGATCCGAGATGTTCTGGCGCCTTTTGGCGCCGGCGCTTCTGACGCGAGCGCCAGGCGTTCTAGCGGTAAACAAATTTGATATTC